ACCCACATATCCATCACATGGCCCAATCAGGCTCCGTCCAAAACTGGAGATGCCTCCCAGTCACACCATCGCAGCTGCAAGGCAATGTATAAATATAAGTATAATCTTTATTGTCATTGTACTTAAATACAACGAAATTGGTTTTAATCTCACTGGTGCAAAATTATAACAGAAACGGAAAAAGAAAGCAAAAGACTCTCTGAGAAAGGAATGTTATTTTGACTATATATATCCCATACTCCATATAATCCCCCCCTCCCATTTTCCCACAGCATTGAATGGGGCAGGCCTGAAGGCCCAATGCAAAAGATGGTTTCCAGGCCTGACAGTTTCATTGCAAGCTTCCAGAATGGCAGCCCTCCTCCATAGGCACCGTATCAGTACAGAGGGATGGACTTGTCTATGGGGAGTCTCAGTCATCCAGGTCGTGGTGACTAAGAATCTCCATAGAGAATTTATACTCCTTGCATCCTCCACCATTCAGTCAGAACTGAAGAAGCTTCTTGGATGAGAAGCAAAACGTCTTCAAGGAAAAATAAAATCCAATTGTCTTTTGAAAAAGCTCATCTGGGAGAGAGATGGGCTGTGGATAATGAAATAAGTTAGATTTCTTGATGAGAGTGAAGCTTCAAAAGATTTGTCTTTATCCTTGATGCTATTTGTTATTCAGTCATTCCTCTGCTGGTTTTAAACTTTGCTCCTCTGCATGACTCAGAACTTGGGCATCCTAGAAGACCATTTACTGTATTTTTCAGAGTATAAGACACACCCTTTTCCCCCCAAAAAGAGGGGGGAAATTTGGGTGTGTCTTATACACCGAATATAGCCCCCACCACCCCCAGAGACCAAAAACATGAGGCATGGAGGCAGCGATGGTCTGTGGCAATCCCTGCAGCCTGGAACAGCTGATTGGGGGTATTCTGGCAGTCCGATCCACCCGCCAATCAGCTGTGGCAGCAATAAGTGCTGAAGCTGACCTGGCTGGTCAGAGTTTGCAGCAGCAATCACATTCAGAAAGCGCAGTAACTGATTCAGCAGGATTCAAAAGAATAATAATATTCAATACAATACCAAAAGCAGGTTTTCCAAGGTAGCAGTAAATACAAGCAGAACACAAGCAGTTTCACTTTCACTTCTCGGCTAAGCTAGGCTCCTTCCTGTCTCCTTCTTGCTCACACAACAAATTTCAGAATCCAAATAGCCCTCATTGGCTGACTTAGTTGCTATGCCTATTGGCTGACCTTGTTACCATGTGTCAGCTGAATACCATGGATGCTGGTAGGCAGAGGCAGATTTTTTTTTCTTATTTTCCTCTCAAAAAACTAAGGTGCGTTTTATACTCCGGAGCGTTTTCTACTCTGAAAAAAAAACCACAGTAATCCCATACAACCCCAATCTGTGCTGTCTTTTATAGCACTCAATTCTTGTATCTGATTTTGAGCTATATTCTTTCTGGAGTGATGAGAAAGTAGAAGATAAACCATAGTGCATTCTTTTAAACCTAGGAGAGCCCACCAAATCTCAAATCCCAGAATTCCCCAAAACATCCATGCTGGCTAAGATATTCTGAATATTAAAAACCACACAGCTGGCACTCAAGAGGAAGAAAGATGCAGTAGCCATTTTTTTGCAAGCTAATTGAATTCTTTCCCTATTGATATAATTGTATAATTTGAAACTCTCTTTGTTTCTACAGGTGTAACTTGGCCAGTGTGGTACTCCATCTGTTGGCTCTTAGAATCCCAAATGTCCTTACCTTTGACTTTGTGTCAAAGCCATCCCCAGGTAAGTAAGCCTCAACTATGTTGCAACTAGAGCCGAGGTGGTGCAGTGGTTAGGGTGCAGTACTGCAGGCCACTTNGGCGGAGGGAGGGAGCTGGAACTGGTTCTAAACGGCACTGTAGATTTGAACTGGCAGGAACCCACCCCTGCCTGTCCCCCCATGCATGCGTGACCACCCACCACCCTGCACATGCATCCATGACCCCACCATGTGTATCCCGCCCCCGCACATGCACGTGTGTTTCCTACATGTGCCCTGCCCCCTGCGCATGCATGACAGAGACCTGAAAATCAGTTGATTAGTGGGAGGCCTGCCCCCATGCGCACGGTACCCACAGAGAGGGCTCTGCATGCCACCTGTGTCAGGCGTGCCACAGGTTTGCCATCACGATTATAGGCAATAGCAATAGCATTTAGACTTATATACCGCCACGTAGTATTTTACAGCGTAGAAGCCTTATTTGCATATTGCCAGCAACAATCTGGGTCCTCATTTTACCCGCCTTGGAAGGATGGAACCTTGAACCAATAACTTCTCTCCCATTCTCTGCTTTAAAATAACAATTATGGGATTGAGTTGATGAGCATCTGCACCACCTGAAACTATTTTGAAAACCAAGGCTATGCTAAGCTATAAGTATCTAGCAAATCACTTGAAAACATGATAGCCATTTAACAAGCTGTAAGTGCAGAATCTCAGGTCTTAAAGGCTACAAGTGGCTCCCCATATTTTGGGGTATCATAACCCATGTAATTTTTAAGATGAGAGAAGAGAAAATATTTAGGAGGAATATTCAATGTATTCAAATGTTTAAATTGAATTTATTTATAATTTTGGTTCTGCCTAGTTTTTGTTTTCTGTAGCTGCCCATCTCACATACGTGACCCTGATCAGTGAACAATCATAAAAACCAATTAAAAACCCAGTATAATATGAAAATAAATATATATGACCGTTGAGAAATTTGTCATCAATGATGTCAACGCAGCCAGGAAACAGTATGCTTTACATAACTGTTACATACTTCACATACTTTGTGCAAATCCAGGCATAAAGCTAGGTCTTCAAGGCCTCGCAAAAACCATCAGGGTTGGGGTCATTGTCAATTCTGAAGGGAGAATGTTACAAAGGGCAGGGCTTATAGCAGAGAAGTCATGTCTCCTAGTTCTGCTATATTGCTTGATTGATGGGACTCGTAGCATGCCCAACCTACTGGACCAATTGGATGGGTGGAAACAGTTAGGAGAAGATGGTTTCTTAAGTAATGGGAGTGTGGTCCCTCCCCCTCTCCCACCCTTCTCTCCTTATGATTTACTAGCTGATAACCCAGTGCTGCCGAGGTATTTATTTATCCCAACCCTCCGTCCATGAAAGTTGCTGCAATTTTTAATGTTGGATTTTCCCCCTTACCAGAGGGAGCCCCCTTGTGGAGTACTGTGAAACTTGGCAACTCCACAATGCTGTACAGTAGCAGCCATTTTAAGGCAGTACAGTAGAAGCCATTTTAAGGCACAACATGCTGTATCTTAACAGAACACACATCCCGAGGGGTGTTAGGCCTGTCTTACCCCCACAATATTTGTCTCCAGAGAGTAAGTAATCTGTGTACCAAGTTTGGTTGAAATTGCTCAAGGCATTCCAGAGATGCTGGAACACACACGTACACAGCCCTTTTTAATATATAGATTGTTGGTATGTATTTCTTTTATCCTTGAGTTGTGAGCTGCCTAGAGCTTGGTTTAAAATGGGTGGCCTTATAAACAATTTTATTTAAAAAATAAGGAGTTCAGCACCATCTGGACTACAACAAGCAGACTATCTTTGCCACTGACTGTATTAAGCTGGACAAATCAATGTTTTTGAGGTAGGCTTAATCCAGGGTTGTCCAAACTTGGGAACTTTAAGACTTGTTGGCTTCAACTTCCAGAAGCATAGCTGGCTGGGGAATTCTGGGAGTTGAAGTCCACAAGTCTTAAAGTTTCCAAGTTTGGACAACTCTGGCTTAATCAATTCTAGAGCCTTCTTGATGCCCATAACTGTTGATCGCACTTACTCAGTGTTATGTAATTTAGAATCCAAAACACTTTTAAGAGTATGAAGTTCCTTATTCTGGATGTAGTTAGATCCCGTGGAGTCATTTCCAAATCTCCAATGGGCAATTCCATTTCTAAAAGGAAAAACTTAGATTTTTCTTGCCTTTCCTAGAAAGTGGCCTGGAGGTCCTGGCAGTGCAGCGAATCTCAAAGGCCCAGGCCTGGCAAAGAGCTGGTCGAGCTGGGAGAGAAGAAAGTGGATTTTGTTACCGCCTCTACACAGAAGATGAATTTGAGAAGTTTGATAAGATGACTGTACCAGAGATCCAAAGGTGAAGTGTCATGTGGGAAAGTCTCTGTCAGGGTTCCAAGTAACACCCCCAACGAAAGAAGACTCCAAGGCTTGGAAGTTCTGCAAAGTTCCATTTTATTAGAGATGTCATATTGCTTCATCTGGGAAAATCCGAATCTGAAAGCTTCCGGGTTTCCCCCACCCAAATGAAAGTCCAAGTCCCTGCCCAGCACCCACATATCCATCACATGGCCCAATCAGGCTCCGTCCAAAACTGGAGATGCCTCCCAGTCACACCATCGCAGCTGCAAGGCAATGTATAAATATAAGTATAATCTTTATTGTCATTNTGAAGGGCTTTATAAGTTACGACTAGCACCTTGAAGCGTATCCGGAGACTGATAGGTAACCAGTGCAGCTCGCGTGTAGGTGTAACGTGGGTGTACCGAGGTGCACCCACAATCGCTCGCGCGGCTGCGTTCTGGACGAGTTGAAGTATCCGAATACTCTTCAAGGGCTGCCCCATGTAGATCGCATTGCATTTTCATTAGAATTATCATTTGATTTATTTCATTGCAGTCTGTTGGAAGGTACATATTTTTCCTTTTATAGTCTTATGTATTGGGTTTGTTTTTAGAAATATGCATCTGCTTGATCGTACATTATGTGACGGTCTCAAATGTGCTTTGTCTAAGCATCTAAAAATGAAGAGTGAATTGGACATGTATAGGTAGAACCATCACAGCTCAAATTATTACCAGTATCAAATTGTGACTCTTTGGGGATGTAGTGCTGGACTGTAACTATAACTTTAGGTCATACTCTATGGGAATTTAAACAATTCCAATAGGACCAACTAAAGTTGCAGAAACTCTCTGTCCATCCCTTGCCCTCACTTGTTTTATTTCCCTCCATCCCCTTCCTCCTGTTTTGCCATTAAAAAGAGCAAAAATGCTGAAATCTCTGATCTGCCATGAACTTGTCACACAAGTAGCTGGTATACTAAGAATTGTAATGTGTAATGCATATATGTTACTAGCATGGTGGACATGCCTCCTCTTACCTGAATGAAATGAAAAGCTGTTGAAGGCATGATCATCTTGAAGATGATCCATCCAAGTTTGGTTTAAAGAAGAATAACTCTAAGAAGTGAGATGGAAGGAATGGAAGGATGGGTTTTTTGTTCTTCAACCACTAATCCCTGGCTTGCAAATTATTGGCACACAAGTTGTTTTTAAATGTTTGTAATTAATTCTAAATGTTCATCATGCTAGGTAATTACCATGGTGCATTTATGAAGATGGATATGCCTTTATTTGTTCTTTTGTCTTGAAAATATGCAAATGACCATTCTCTTTTTGGTTGATTACAGGAAACTGCAATATAGCATATGCAATCCAGAAGAAAATGGCCCTTAATTCCAGATCTTTGAAAACAAAAACTATCCAGAAAAAGGTGTCTGCCTCCATTACTTCCATTATACCATGAATTTAAAATGACTGTTCCGTTTAAAGGCAAATAATTATGGGAAAATTTATTTTATTAATTTTCCTTTCAGTAAAAAAAAGTCCTAAAAATAATAATTTTTTGGAGTATAAAACGCACCTTTCCCCCACCAAAAAGAGGGTAAAAATGTGGGTGCGTCTTATACACCAAATGTAGCCCCATATCCCCACCAGAGGCCAAAAACGTGAGGCATGGAGGCAGCATTGGTCTGTGGCAATTCCTGCAGCCTGGAACAGCTGATTGGGGGTATTCTGGCAGTCCAATCCACCTGCTAATCAGCTGTGCTGAATCAGGCTAAAATAAGTGCTGAAGCTGACCTGGCTGGTCAGAGTTTGCAGCAGCAATCACATTCAGAAAGCACAGTAACTCATTCAGCAGGATTCAAAATAATAATAATATACAATACAATACCAAAAGCAGGTTTTCCAAGGTTGCAGCAAATACAAGCAAAACACAAGTAGTTTCATTTTCAGTTCTCGGCTAAGCCAGGCTCCTTCCTGTCTCTTTGTTGCTCACATAGCAAATTTCTGCGTCCAAATAGCCCTCATTGGCAGTGATGTGCGGTCAGCTTTAGCTCTGGTGAGGCACTTTTTAGACTTGTGGACTTCAACTGCCAGAATTCCACAGCCAGGCATGCTCAGTTCCGATTTAAAACGACAGCATTTTCCCCCCTTGCAAAATAAGTTTTCGCATTCTTTTTCTTCTCCCTCCCACTCCTTCCTCCCTCTCTCCCTCCCTC